CTTTCCGCCATTTCTCTGCCCTTCCCAATATATCTTATATTTTCTAAAACATTTATTAGATGAGGAAACAGTAGAGGCATGGGACAAGTCACTCAAGGCTGAGTAACTACAGGTAATGGGCCAGGAAGATAAAAGTTTCTTGTATGAAATATCGAGTTTTCCCTGTGATATTAGGATTTCCTGTTTTCTATGATGTCAACTGGTTGAGAAAATGTAAATTGATTTTCCCCACCAGAGGGGTTGACAGTTGGACCCAGTTTGTTCGGATAATATTTTTTTAAAAATTTACTTCACTTTGTGTGTGTGTGGTCATTTGTTACTGGAGGCCAGAAGAGAACATTGGATCCCCTGGAGCTGATGTTACAGGCAGTTGAGAGTCACCAGTATGGGTGTTTGGAACTGAACCTGGGTCTTTTGCAAGGGCTCTTAACTGTCAAGCCTTTGGTTGGGTAATATTTAAAGAAACTGAAAAAGATCTGGTTTCCAGGTAGTAAAGCATTGGCCTAGCAGGAAGCAGACCCAATCCTCAGGACTAGGAAAAATTATTCTGGCTTCCAGGATTAAGCATGCATACAATAAAGGGGTTTTTCGGTGAAACTGCCTCCGAGAGTGAATGAACACAGAAGTTCATTCACTGACGTGCCTGAGAACAGCCAGTCACAATTACTCAGATGACAGTGACTGCTCATGTGACGGTGAGCCACTGTAAATGCTGACAAATAAAGTGCAACAGTGCCGATTCAAGTATCAATCGTTAGCAGAGTGTCATTTATAACATGCTGTCTAAGATCAAAAGATAAACTCAGAGGCGTCCTCGTTTCTTCTCACAACACCCAGGATGTACACCCCGAGCTTTAGGCGCTTGGGAGAGCATGTAGTGTTAGCTTAAGGAAAAGCATGACCAGGTGAAGTTGGAGACAGCTGCAAAGAAGAAGCAGGAGGTAGGAAGACAGAAAAAGGCTCAGGCTCAGGGCAGAGTCCAGGACGGAGGACAGGGATGGGTTTGAGATCCATCACAGGTGTTGGGTGTGGGTGTGGGGGAAATATAGAGGTGACTAAGAAGAGGACAACGCCCCCTCAAGCACGGGAAGAACCAGACGTTGAGCACCGAGTCCCATTTGGATGGTAGTGTATATGTTATCCTGTGTTGTATAAAGACGGCATTCTGCAGCAGCAGGAGTGAACTTCTGGGAACCTGAGACAACGGTGGCTTCTTTCTCTCCGAGTTTTGGTGGGGTAATTTCTTTACTGCTCAGAAGAAGGACAGGGCCCCCACTTTAACCTAAAAATAAATGTATCTATAACATAAAATGGTGAACCACCCCACCCCAGAGGCTCACCCACTTCAGGTAGGAGCCCTGCTCTAACCTACTCCTTGGTGCCCTCTAAACTCTCTGTTCCCCTGTCTGGCAGCCATTCTCTGAGTCAGAGGTTAATTATGTCATTTACTATTTTAGAAATCCTGGTGAGTTATGGTCAAATGTTAATGTTCATCATGCTGAGTGAAGAATTGTAATTCATCGTGCTGGGGGAGAGATAAGAGAAAGGATGGAGGGAAAAGGAGAGGGTCCCTTTGAGAGCTTATGATCTTCTGGATAAGTATTCACACAGTAGGATGGGTCACAGTAGGACACACTACCATCCCTGAGCCACAAATAGCGAGCATAGAAGAGAAGGCTCAGATTAACTACGCCACAAGGATTCGAAGATCCAAGTTCAGAATGAGGGGTATTCTGTAGAACAGCTGTCTCAGACCGGGCCTGGTGAAACATGTCTGTAATCACAGCACTTGGAAGACTGAGTCAGGAAAACTGCTATGAGTTCAAGGACAATTTACCACATGGTTAGTACCAAGCTAGGTAGTGCTACATAGCAAGATGCTGTCTCAAAAACAAAACACAAAACAAAACAGAACAAGCAAAGAGAAAACCTCAAGTACCTCAATCATTCTAACAAATTTATAGTATATAAAAATGAAATGGGATATTAGAAAATAAAATATTCCTAGGAATAACAATCAGAAGCAGTAAGACTTCATTTTAGGTAGTAGATAATTTGAAAATTAGATTCCAGCAGTATAACTTGTAATGATATATCTTAATCAACGACACAGGGTGGTGGTCCCATAAAATTGTGCCACACAGTAATGTGGTAGCCACTTCTGTTTCTATGAGACAACTCTGACAGTCACACAGTGATGAGATCAACCAATGTACAGTTCTTAGAATACATCTCTCATTAAACTGTCATGTTCTGACCTACTATGGATTGGACCACAAGGAAATGCAAAATAATTAAGCTAGGGATGTAAAGGTGGTCATAAAGGAACACATTCTTACGGATTTGGGATACACACTGAAATGTGTGTGGGTGTGTGTAGTGATCTATTATTCATGGTTTATTAAAGTTTGAATAAGGATTCAGAAAGAAAAGTCAGCCACAAGCCATAGAAGCCAGGCACGTACCTTTAATCCCAGCAGCCAGAAGCCGGGAGGTGGTGGTACACATCTTTAATCCTAGGACTCAGGATAGAGAGGCAGACAGATCTCTCTGAGTTCAAGGCCACCCAGGGACACACGAGATTGAATCAGTCTAAAAGAGTAACAGATCACACACCTTTAATCCCAGAACTAGAGGGGTATAAAAGATAGAAGCAGGGGTCTTCAGGATTCAGTAAAGGAGGATGCTCCAGTCACAATGAAGATAGAGTCATCCGTTCTCCAGCCACGTTGAGAATAGGAATGCCCCAGCCCTGTTAGAGGTTAAGAGCTCTCCGGGAGCTTCACTACTTTGCTTCCCTGATCGATCTTCAGGTTGAACCGCAATTATCTGTCACTGGGTCCTTTTGTTTTTCATGGTACAGATGTGAGGTCACAATAACTGAGGTCTTCCTTCAGTTATTATTGCTTCCTTGAAGCGAAAGAAACACATTTTATAATTTATCACAAGCCAAGAGTGTTTTTAGGATAATTTTTTTTAAGGCATGGATCTAAAATCTGGCTGAATTACCCAGGGAACTCAATACAAGACTCCAGGAGCTGTGCAAGCTCCTGACTCAGTTTCTCATAGATGACACGTCTGTAGTGGGTGGAGTAGGGGCCATGCTCCATGGTTCCTGCCTGTAACTCACTAAACTAGGCTAAAGATATAAATGTTTGTCTTCAAGGCAAGTAAAAAATATACTACAATCTTACCCCAACTTTTTGTCTTGGAGCTGGTCATAAAGAGATTATATTTATTTCTTAGTACTGTGACCAAATATCCAAGAAGACACTTAAGGTCTGAAGGGATTATTTTGGGTTACAGTCTTGGAGGATACAGTCTATCGTGGCAGGGAAATTGTGGCAGGAGCATGAGGCAGCTGGTCACTCTCCCCACAGTCAGGAAGCAGACAGAGATGAATGCTGACATTCAACTCCCTTTTTATTCAGCTCAGGACCTCAGCCTGTGGATGGTATCACACACATTTAGAGTGTGTCTTGTCCTTTCAGTTAACCCAATCTAGAAAGTCCCTCACAGACAAGACGAGAGGTGTGTTTCCTAGGTGGTTCTAGAGCCTGTCAAGCTGACAATCAGTGGTAAGCATCAAATTCGTGTCTCAGAGGGTGTCCTGCTCCATGCCTGCAAGGAAACAGCTCCATGCTGTTCAGAAGCAGACAGGCGTTTTGAGGTCTTTCCATACCATCTGTTAATATTAGGTTAGATTTATTCTGTGCCACCATGGTCTTCATGACTGTCCTTGCTTTCATCATGCATACGCAGTGAAGCATCTATAAAACCTGGTAGGACAGGGTTCAAAATGCTTCCATATAGCTAGACACATGGAGGTGCCTGGAAGGTGGTCAGCTCAGAGGCCTGGAGTCTCCTGAGCCTCCAGGATACTGAGCTATATGTTGCTATCGTCTGTATTACAATATCCTTTATAACAGAAGAACAAATGCTTCCTGGGGAATCTATGACTGTTGAAGATTAACCAAATCTGAGGAGGAGATGCTTATGTCTGCTGGTCATAAGAACCAGATAAAATCCACCTGGGGTTTGAGACTGGCATGTGGTGTGGAGGACTGAGCCCTGACCCCCAGTAATCTGATGCTGTCAGTACTGAGTTAGAGAACACCACTGTGGAGTTGAGCTCTTGTCGCCTGGTGGGGAGATTGTCCAACATTTTTTGATGAACACAGAAACCTGTGCTGGCAACTATGGTATGCAAGGCAAGCAGAGGAAAATGGTGTTTTTCCACTGGGTGAGTTGATAACTTTCCAGCTCTCGTAGTCATCATAGCCAGGCTAACTCTTTCTGCCCTGCCTGACACAGGAAGTCTCCCGCCAATATTCCTCCTGACGATTTCCTCCTTCCTTGTCTCTCTCTCCTTATTGTTTAATTTCTCTACCTCATGAGTGCTTCAGTGTGAGTCTCCAGAGACCTTGGACTGCAGCAGTTCTTAACCTGTAGGTTGAGATGCCTTTTGGGGTCAGATATTTATATTACGATTCATAACAGTAGCAAAATTATAGTTTAGTAGAAATGAAATAATTTTAAGGATGGGGTCATCACAACATAAGGAACTGTATTAAAGGGTTGCAGCATTAGGAAGGTTGGGGACCACTGGCATAGGGGGAGAAGCTTTCACACATTGATCTGGGTTCTGTGCCATCGCTATCAAACCCAAGGCTGGTGCTTGAGTATCTATCTTATCCTCATCCGCCCATTGTTTCGTGTGTGTGTGTGTGTGTGTGTGTGTGTGTGTGTGTGTGTGTGTGTGCAGGTGTTCTAGCGTGTGCATCCATGTGCAACTAACTGCATGTACTACCACATCGGGCTTGTACAAAGGTGATGGGAATACACTTAGCTTTTCATGTCTGTGCAGCAACCCCTTGATTATTTTTCATTAGTTATCTCTCTTTCCACCGGTAAAAAGTGCACCCATGGCTCATTATACATCAAAGTCTTCATATTTTAGCCCATATTCTCCCAACACTCATGAATAAAAAACATCAGGATTTGTTCTTAAATAATTTATTTTTTAATAATGACTTTTGTGAAGTTACAGTTCTTTAATACGACAATCTGAAGAAGTCAAAAAAAGGTAGATTCCATCCTATGAAAGACAACTAAATGTGCAAATTTCACATACTTTCTATAATAAGTATAAATAATTTCATGGTTTCACATTAAGAATGAAAATATCAATAGACACAAAATATTAGGTTATTAACTTTGAAAGAACTAAATGAAAAAAGAAAGACGAAGACGTAAGTCAGGGAAAGAGTGTCAGATGTGAAGAGAAAAGGCTATGTAGAGTTATACATCACAAACATCTTCAGGTGCTGGGCTGGACCTCACGATGTCAGCTCTTTCCTCTGGAGAAATGCATCTCCCTCCAGAGGCAAGTGCAAAGCACTCAGAAAAGCTAGAAGCCGATGGCAGAGACCTCATCCTCATGGCTACTGGCTCTGCGGTCCCAAGGCTGGGGTTCCTATCCAGAACCCCAAGGGCACAGCATTTACACAGTAAGCAAAGGTCACGAAAGGCCACATATTTTTGTGTCCCTCCCCACTCTATCCCTATCTTCTCTCCAAAGAGGTAGGATACTTGGAAGCATCTACAGAAGGCACACAACAATGTCTTCCTGTGCAGCTGGGGAGTCGTAAGAAGCATAAGCTTCTACAGGCTTTATTCATAAAGCAATCCCTTCTTCCCTAGGGAGGCAGCGAGTAGAGAGGGCAGACAACCGGCCCACCACACCCCGAGGTCAGGAATTTGCCAGGTTCCCAGAACATGGCGGAAAGCAAGTATGTTATTCCAAGAGAATACTGCAGAAGAAAATCTTCATTTAAATAACGTTGAAGTCCGTAATAAATAAAGTAGGATAAGGGCTTCCTTTAAGGAGGCAGCTTGTTGAATTCACGTTAACAAGCTGCATACACAGAGGCAACCTGACAACAACCAGAAAATAGGTTATTATTATTCAGTCTTCCTACTACCTCTGGGGCACCATTTCAATGTTTAAAAAAGACTTCCTCATACACAATATAAGGGTATATTACATATGTACACACTCTGATATACACCTCTGTGCAAACTAATCTCTCTGGAAGGGAAGACAGCGATGACCGGTGGTGGCGTGTCTTCCCGCTGAGACGGTCTGCTGTCTAAAAGGTGTATGCATAGTCAAGAGCAGCTTGTTTGTCTGCATGTGAACACGTTCCGTTTCAGCAGCCTCAGGGTCACAGTCTGTGTGCGGCTCTGCTTCCCGGCAGAACCTTGGGAACCAAGCAGGCGGGTAGGGAAGCCCACGGACTCCAGATGTGCTCTACCTCACGTCATTTTCCCTGAGCTTCCTCAGGCTTCTGGCGGAGGGCCTTGGTGCTCTGAGGATTCAGCTTTGGCTCTCTGAGAAAAGCTTCCGGGTGGGGTGGGGGCAGTCAGGTGGTCTCAGGCTCCAATCCACCTGTCCGTGTGCTTTTCTTCCCGTTTCCTGGCAGGTGGGCACAGGAACTGCTTGCCAGTCCTAGCATGCATTCCATGTCTGAAGTCCATCTCCCCGGACTCCTGGTAGATGAGCTGCAACAGCTTCAGGCTGGACCTGACATCATGCATTGCGGCTCACGGGGTCTACTCTCAGCCTACCTGGACATAGTCTTGGTTACCAAACCTGAATGTCACGGCCATGGTGAAGGGCTTATCTCGCTTCCTTTGCTCAAAGACGCTCGCAGCCACTGACCCAGGGCCCCCCCTTCCTGTGGCACTCAGGGTTCTGGGGTACAGCACCACTCTGCCTGGCAGCTCGAGGCCCCTTCTTGCTGACCAGCCCTCTCTCTCGCTTGCACTTAGCCATACATCTGCTTGAACTGGAAGCACTCGTTGCAGTAACCGTTACACTTGGCATTGCCGAAGTGATCGCAGGCGGGGGCCCGGCAGCGCTGTTTAGGGGGCTCTTCTGAGGTGGGGTCGCCCCGGTGAGCCACAGAGCCTACTCGCTGGCTCAGGTGCTGACACTCCATGCAAAGTTCCTCACTGCGACAGGCCAGGATGTTCTTGCAGGAGGCCCGGGCACACTTGGGCCTGGAGGCTCCGTGTGTGGTTCGGGGCATGTCTCTGCGCTGGCTGGATCTCTGTGTGGGAAGAACAAGAGAAGGGTGTTACGTTTCTCAGGAGACCAGAGGGGGGTTTCAAATAATAGGATGGATTCTTCAGAGGGCTTGACCTGACTGAGTGAGAGAAGCCGGAAAATGTGCCCCGGAGGGCCCCTAGCGCCCCACCAATCCCGCTGACCCATTCGAGGAAGCCCCCCTCCCCCACCACATGTCAGTAAATGGAAGCATCCTGGATGTTCAGGATAAAGGACTGAGAAGTCTGTTTCTCCTTCAAATCTAAGAGGTCTCTGATCGATCACCTCCTGGCTTTCGGGATGCTCAAGGATGCTAGTGGAGGCTTCACCCAGGGCTGACTGATTAGCTTTTCAGAATCAATTCTAAGCATGCTTAGGCTGTGCAGCACATCTAACGCATGAGCCAAGGAAATGTGGCTGTTTTTTCCAGGCTCTCTTCCAGCAGACTTTTTAAAGGGACCCTTGTCACCATGAGGAGACAGCCTATCTGTCACAGACGGAGGACCTGACGCCAGAGAGGGCAGGCCCCACCAAATGTCTCACCAGTTGCTCTTCAGTCCTCTTTGCTTCATGAAGCCTCTGGCTCTGAGCTTCAATGAAGCACTTCTGACAATATCCTTCAAACATGGTGCTCCCGAGGGTGCCGCACTCCCTGCTCAGGCACGGGACGTTGTTCTGGAACCTGGGGGCCACGGAACCCGCTTTCCCAGACGCAGTGACAAACTCTACAAAAGAGTGGATGCTGGTCAGTATCACATCTGGGCTACCGTGCAAATACAGACACTGACATTAGACAGGAAATGGGTTCCCAGCACAGACGAGAACAGCCTTAAACATGGACTTTGAGGACGAACTTTCAGAAACTCAGCAAAATAACATCTTTGGCTTAATAGAGCTCTCACTTTGAACACGGGTCACTGATCAGTCCAAGAACCAAACAGCAGGCATTAACAGCCCACTTGCCCTTTGAATTAGAAATTCCTAAGCCACAGACGTTTTCCTGGTGGCAGTAAGTACTACCTGTCTCTTGCTAACCTGCTTCAGACCATCTAACCAAAGATGCTGAAGTCTGAACTACACATGGACAGCAGACTCTCAATGGTCTTATTAAACCCAGCTCCATGGTCTGGTGTGGCAGCAGCATATGCCTAAAATTCTAGCACTCAGGGGTAAGAAGCAAATAGATTGCCAGGACTCTGAGGCCAGCCTGGGCTACACAGTGGGTCCATCCTGGGCTAGTATGAATTACATCTATCGGGTACTTTTGCTGTAGGGTACACAGCAACTAGAGCTGATGCAATGACATAGTGCCTACTGCTTCCAGGTACAAGGGCAGAGCAACAGTTGACTGTCCCCAAGCACAAGCCAACAGAAAGGCGCAGTGAGATGCAATTGCTCTGACTGCTGGGATAGGCTACTTTCTTGACATTCAAAGCCCCCTTCTAGGCAGTGGCTACTGCAACAGGCAGTCTGTGACTTCACTCACGTTTATTTTCTCTGTATTCGATGAAACACAGCGTGCAGAAGCCCTTGTTTTCGGGAGTCCCAAAATACGTGCAGCCAGCTTTTCTGCACTTGCTTGTCCCTGTCCTGTCTCCTGGAGTTCGAGCTGCCTGGGAAAGGCAGCCAGAAGGGACGTCATTTCCAGTCCGGTGGCAAGAGTGTGGGGCGAGACTTTGGATGAGTTGTGAGGGGTCAGACTTGGAGCGTTGGTGACAGGAGGGAGGGGCGCTGGAAGTGAGGCTGGAGGAGGGCTCTGCTTTGGTCCTTTTCAAACAGGTACTGCAGATGCCATTAAACGTCCGAGTGACATCCTGAAGGCAAGCTTGGCACTTACCGGGATCTGCAGTGTGACTGGCATTAAGCTGCTGGGCATTGTGGCAGCGCTCACAGAACCCATTATGCTGCACGTTCAATGTAAAAGGGCAGCCGGGGCTCCTGCACTTCATTGCCGTGGTCTCGCTGAACAGAAAAAGGCTGGGTGCAGTGGGCGGGGCCGAATGAGGTCCTCCAGCTGTTTCCTCTGGGCTCCAGGCTGAGGTGCCAAGTGCCATGCCTGGGAATCCTTCAGGGCCCAGCTTCGAGTTCAGCTTTGGGAGTTTGCTCTGGTTCTTTTGGCGCCTCTCTGAGCATTCGTGGCATAATGGCTGAGTGTTCACGGACATAAAGAAAGGACAGTTGGGCGTCTCACACTTTACATCCATGAGTGACAGCTGGGGCGTGGAAGGCTCCGGAGGGTTCTGTGCATGTGCCCCTCTCCTGCCCTGTTCATTGTCTTCCTGCCATTTCTTGTATTCATGCTGAACAAGTTCAAAGTAATCATCTACCAGATTTATTTCTTTGGGTAAATTAGCTTCATCCAGCCTAAAGAGCAAGCGGGAAAATAAGTGGTGACTCCAAATAGCACAAGACTTTAACATCCTAAGCTCCTAGAATACATTTCCACATTGCAGTAGTCGATGGCACAAAACCAGCACGGGAATGCAGGCTTATGACACGTTGTGGTCTGATATACTTCTATCATGTTCTCAAGTCAAAAAGACAAATCAAAGGGCTGGAGAGATGGCTCAGCGGTTAAGAGCACTGAATGCTCTTCCAGAGGACCCAGGTTCAATTCCCAGCACCCACATAGCAGCTCACAACTGTCTGTAATTCCTGTTCCAGGGGATCCAGCACCCTCATACAGACATGCATGCAGGCAAAACATCAATGCATACAGAAAAAAAAATCAATAAATTAATCTAAAAAAAAGACAAATTAAAGGAGACTGCTTACTTTGCAGCATTGATGAGGTGAGTCGTGCCATGGTCCCAGCCTTGTACCGGGATCTCCATCACAATCAAGTAGTCCTTGAGAAGCTTTTCCTTCATCTCATTTTCAGGGTCTGTCAAAAAGTGAACTTTTAAGTCTTCAAATCTTCCCCGATCTCTGTTAACCAGGGGAACAGCTCGGATTTCTGAAAGAAAAAAAAATATCCTGTGAGCAAAATATTATCCTACTAAATGATACTATGTGTAAGGTCACATACAATGATTTGAACTTAAAGATACAGAAAGCATCATCCAGTCACACTTAGAAGCCAAACGGGGGTAAAAGCTAACATAAGATGCTTTGTTCCCAGGGAGCTCATAGAATGCCAAGGAGCCTGGTGCTGACAGACTTCTTAAACAGGGATTTCATTTGTGATTTTTGGATATTTATTGTAGCTGGAAGGCTGAGAAGTGATTTTAGTTCCTGTTTGGAGCACAAAGATACTGAATTTCCTTTTGTGTTTTGTACACCTGTATGAGCTACTCTGTATTTGAACTTCACTGTCTTCTCACACCCCCCCCCCGCCCCGCTCCTGCTGCCTCCACTTTTCAAAATCCTCTGCCTTCTATTTCCATGTCTTTTGTTCTGTACCCTTAAAAAAAATCTAGATTTCATATATGAGAGAAAAAAGTGTTGCTTTTCTCAGTCTATACTTTTTTTTTTTAAATATGATTATCTTCTGCTCTATCTTCTTCCTCTGCAAAAGACAAAAATTCCTCTTTTTTCCCTTATGGCTGAATAATTCCATTGTGTATACATATCACAGTTTCTTCGTCCATCCATCTGGTGATCGTCACCTAAGCTGATTTTGTAACCGTGGGGAGGACACAGGAGATCTGAACTGGTTAAATTCAATGCCTCCCAGGCGGACTGACCTGAGTGAGGATCTTGACTTTGTTGATGTCAAGCTAAGCATGTCATTTAACCTTCCTGAGTTTCCATGGCCTCATCGATAAAGTAAGACAACTCATGCCAACATCTCACAGGGATGCTATGAGAACAAACGAAGGAATGTTGTCTGGAGCACTTAGTGAAGTGCTTGCCATGCATTAAGGTATTATAATAACAGCTAAGCTGACAAACATCTACTTGCTGTTTGCCAGACACGATACCGAGGCTCTGTGCACCTCAATTTGTCATTTAGTAACAACAGGGGTGGAGTATGCATATATGCCTATCCAACCTATGTTTTCCATGCTGAAAGTACTTCCTAAGTCACACTCAAAAAGGGGGCAGGATGGTGTGTTTACTGCTATTGCAATACTGTGCCATTGTGTACAACTCCAATCTGAAAATCTCAAATCTACAAATCTGACTGGATTTGGGAGCAGTTAGGTTTCTGATTAGGGGTGATGAGATGGTAAAGTCTATATAAACATTCAGGAATATGAAAGACTCTGCAATCTGAAATGATTATTGGATCTACATAAGGGATCGTTAATCCTTCCTGATTAAGAACAGACTTAAATATAACAATTTCAGCTGGGAACGAAAGAGCAAGGGCGGGAACTCCAGGATTCGACAGGGTTATGAGTATGAAGTGAGGTTTTCTTACCAGGTCCACTGTCCTTCAGGGTCACCAGGGGCACAAAGTGCTGGCTGTCATAGCCAAGGACGATGGGGTATCTGTAGCATTCCTGGGCAGGCCAGTGGAGAGGCAGGTAAATCCCACCTACTTTCAAAGGAGCAAAATTGGAACCCGATTCCAAACTTCTTAGCATTTTGTCTATTAACAAGAAGGAAAGAACAAATAAGACCCTGGATGACTTTCGTGAAGCTGCGGGGGAGCCTGGGCTTCTCCTCAGAGCTAAAACATCATGGCTGAAAAGCATCTGGAGAAACAAGAAGAGAGGAGGCACCTTACCTGAAATGACGATGATGGGTCTCCTGAGGATGTTGCTGAGGACAAATATGTGGATTTCTTCCAGGGAATTATACTGAAGTCCACTTCGGGCTGCGGCGGTGTCTGCCGATGCCATTTTGACCAAATTGTCCCATTCATCATTCCAGTTCTAAGGGGGAGGGGAAATGGGAGGAAGGAAAGAATAGATTAGCAAGTCACTGAGATGTCACTCTGCATTTGTCCCGTAAGAAACCCCATTCATTCTTCATTGAAACAATCACTTGGATGTTCATCCTCTCCCTAGTTTTGATTTTTCTCCTTTACTTTTTTCCATTGCAGAGCAAGCTCAAAGTTTATGGGAGATACAGACAGCATTTGCTTTCAGAAAAAGTCCCTACCTGGGGCAGGCGGATAGCTTAGCGTTTGCCTAACATGCGTGGAGTCTTGGGTTTATATCTAGCACCATGTAAAATCACATGGTGCCGCATGTCTGCAATCCTAGGACTGTGGAGGTGGAGGCAGGAAGGTCATCTTCAGCTACATAGCAAGGCCATCTTCTGCTATAGCAGGTTCAAGGCCACCCTGAACTACATGACACTCTAGCTCAGAAAAAAAAAAAGCTTGAGGAGTATGAGGTACATCCTTCCCTGGATTGATTAGCTGGGAAGGTACAGAAGTGCCCATGGTTGGAAGACCTGCCGTGACAAAGAAATGCACACCTAGAGATCCGCCGCTCGCAAGCTCGAGCAGTGAGTGGCTAACTGGGGTTAATCCCACAGAAGGTTCTTGGTGTTTTCCACCGAGTGTGCACTGCTTAGCTCAACTCATATGACTTGCAAGTCATATGTTCCTCAGGGAACAGGGACTGGCCCAGAGTACCCTTCGTCCACCGTGGAGCTGCCGACCAAGAGCCAAACATACCCGAGTGTCGTAGCAAAGTCCTGTTTCCACAAATTCCTGAGACTTCAGAGATTCCAGCTGCCAGCGGAATTTAAAGTTCCGTGTGTCTGTCTCCTTAAGGGTGTTGCAGAGGGCCTTCCTCAGGACCAAGTCAGTATCCTGAACACCCCACATGTACTGACAAGCTGCATGCATGAGGCAGTTTCCATCACCTGAGGATAGAAGGGAGCCGTGAGGAGCAAAGCTAAGCAGCCCAAAGTGAAGGAAAGCCCTGCAAAGGTTTCCGGATAAAAGAAGCCCACTGTTGGAGCACTGCGTGGCTGGTTCTTAACGAAGGGCCAGCTGGTAACTTTCCACAAGGCGATGGCAGGTGTGCAGAAGAAACTTCCTTTTGTTCTTCCTTTTAGGGGGAGGAGCCAGACGACCTCCACTGTATCATGGCTCTGCCCCTGACTGGTTTGGATGAATTTGGGAACATCCCTGAGGTCTCTTCTACTTTGTGGAATGAGGGTACCAGCTTATGAACTCTTTAGTGCTTCTTTCTATAGTCTTTGGCTTACTGGCTAAGGCCCTGGCATTCCTGCTGTCTAGCTCTGAGGAAGGTTTCACACCCAGGACAGTGCACACACCAGGAAGCCACTGTAGCTTGGCCTAAGATAGGGCTGGTCTGGCTATGACTCAATGGTAAATGACTTGGCCATTCCACTTTAGCTTTAGGGACCTGGGAGTTTCCTCTCCTAGCTTACCAAGTAGGATTGACAGTACCAAATGACCTGTAGCCTGCTGCAGGCCCTGCCCCAGCCGCTGGGGCATTATGGGAGCCTGCTTGTAAACAATTATAAAGCCCCTTTAAAAGAATTAAAAGGCAGCCGGGCATGGTTGTGCATGCCTGTAATTTAACATTTGGGAGGCAGAGTGCAGAGGGTCAGAAGGTCAAGGTCATCCTTAGCTGCAGAGTGAATTGAGGATTAGCTTGAACTAGAGGGTATCCTGTCTCAATCAGTCAACCAACAAACAACTAAAACATAAAAGTTAAAAAGATAGTGACATTTAATATAGCTCAGTATTTGAGGTTAGCATTTTGAGAAAAAAGATAAGTCTAATTCTTTCACTAATGTGTGACTTTTCCAGAATAAAAGTCACAATTCAACAGACTGTGCTCTTTCAGTCTGTACTTTTATCTTTTTCTCTTCTGGACAAAAACCCAGGGTCTCACGAATGATAGGCAAGGGTTCTCTCTACCAGTGAGTTGAATGTATTCTCTGAATATATCCTTTTTTATGCCCCAAAGAGTAAACATTTGGGAGGACAGCTGGATATAAAACTAGTCAGTTCTTCATGTTTTTAATTTTAAAAAAGCTAAAAAGAAAAGTGTGGGTTTTTGTTTTGTTTTGTTTACATTACTCCGTCAGTAAAGCAATAAAGCTCTCTGAAATTCCATCAAGTCCTAATTATAGCGACACTGTAAACAACCTGTCATATCCAGGGCCAGTCAGTATTCCTTCAGTATGCACGCTTCAAACAACTCGCCGAACTAGTGAACAGAAAAGCTCATTTGAGCCCAGTGTCAGGCGGAGGTGTAGCAAGGACTGCATTCTGTTGAAATTTCCCCTTTGCAAAATCTAGAGCAAAGATAAGGCTTTTTTTTCTTCTTCTTGGGCTTACTTTCAGTTCTTTATTGAGATGCACCAGTATAAAATTCCCTAAGTAACATGTGGAATTCCCCAGTGCGAAGATATTTGACTAGCAATTGAGCAACAGTTGTTGTACGTTTTGTTCTGGTGTGTAGACATTTAAACTGCGAACTGCACCCTGGACTTTCCAAGTGGGTGTGGTCAGGCTGAGCTGGAACCCGGCTACTCACTATACAAGTGAAATTGCCGCAGCCAATAGACGCTGGAATTTTCATGAAGTTTCAATTTTATGCCACCTACTCCCTTCCTCATTCACCACAGTCTCATATCCTCAAATGCAGGCTCCTGAATCACCCCCTCCCCAGTCAGACCCGCCTGCGAAGGAACCTTCCAAAGGGGGCAGGGTTTGTAAAAGGAAAGAAAAGATGCTAAGAATAATCAAAGGGGCAGAAAGCCACCTCCGCCCCAGGCCTTCTTTCTTTGCATAATTTTAAGAACTTTTCCTCACAGCAGAAAAATTAGGATTCTGGGGCCCAAATCCATATTTCCCACCAACATGTTACCAAAATACCTTTGCTTTTGTAGTTTTGGCGGTAGTGTGAACCCTTTTTGATTTAAATGGCAAAGGAAGTGTTTAACATTTATATTGCTTTTTTTCTCCTCTAGGAAATCAGGTATTTCCTCTGTTAAGGAAATACTATATAATGTCTGCTAACACTGTGAATGGTAAGCAAGATAAGGCTCTTCTTCCTCTACCCTGTTTCTAATTCTCTCCACTCCATCTCTCTTTTGGTAACAGAATGGGACATGGTGAAAACCACAAACTGTCAGGTATATAAGCCCCTTGATGACAAGTTAACATAATTATCTACTTCGAGGCATCACTTGACTTAATGCCAAGAACAATGTAGATAATCACCGTCTCCAGTTTTCTTTTGACTCTATTTCTAAGAGTCTAAGCTTCATAAATATAGGAAAGATGTAGAGGTGATATACAAGAGTCCCCGGAATCAAAACAAACAAAAGCCCACATCAACCCATCACCAAGTTATTCAAGTCAAGAACAGTTAATGTACCAATTAAGTTATTAAGTTAACGTTCCTAGCACCATCACTGCCAACAGGGATTTTCTCCTCTTGGATGTATTATTTTGACCCAGAGAATGTAGTTACTGATACAAGAAAATGAGATTGTACTCTTACCAACACTGTTAAGTATTTAATTGATCTAATACAATCTCCGTTCTTAAATGTCTACACCCTAAAGGCAGAACTTCTGTAACTGCATGAAACAATATCATTGGCTGTTTCTGGACCATGTACATAATCTTTCTCAAAGGATGTGATTTGAGACATAGAAAGGAGTTATCAATGGTAAAGGACTTCCCTTGATTGAATGCCAAGAGCAGTGTGTAGAGAAGGTATCTCTCATTAGCTTAGGCAAGAGAACCTAGGCAGAGAAGTAGAAACAAAAGCATCTCCCCTCCTCCCCCTCCTTAACACCCACTTGTTTGTAAGTCTAGAAAATGCCATCAACTCAGGAAGAGCAAGAACATCACAAGCATTTTTCTAATGACAGTGGCAAACGACCGTGACCCCAGTTCTCAGCGCTCTACTTTTGAACTTAAAACCTTTTAAATCCTTTCCATTCTGGCCAGTGACGGTTATAGATGATTTGACCAATGCAAGCATTAGGAAGATTAATCCCCCAACTGGGGCAATCTGGGGCAAGTCTTCATGTCCTCTATACTGTCACTCTCTCTCTCTCTCTCTCTCTCTCTCTCTCTCTCTCTCTCTCTCTCTCTCTCTCTCTCTCTCTCTCAGAAAATAAAAATATTCACCAACTGGATATAATGATGCACACTTGCCATCCCAGCACTCGGAAGATGGAAGCAGAAAGATCACAAGTCCAAAACCAGCCTGAGTTATACAATGAAATCCTGCCCTAGCAGCAGACTCAAATACATTCATGGCTGTCACCTTTCTCTTATGGAGTTTCTTTCTATAGATAGGTGTCTGCTTAATGCCATTAAAACTTCATGGAGAGGCATCATCAGAACACCTTCCTCTGGGTCAGTAGAAGGGTGCTGGAGGAAAAGAGCAAGTCTTACCGTTGGTTTTCAGAGCCACGAGCTTCCTGACCTCTCGACACCAATTGAGCTTCTTCTGGCTTTCCAAGGAAGCCTGGACGCTTCTGTCTATCAGTGCCTTGTGGATGATCTCCCGAAACTGTGGGCAAAACTGACACGTTCTAAACATCTCCAGTGTGTATCGGTGCATGGTTTTAAAATGATGAATGATCCCATTGGTAGGTTTGAAAATATCTTCCGGAGTTCTCTCTCTTATCTTCACAGCTTTCCGCATATTGCTCAAATACAAAGCCTGAGGAAGGAGTTGTTCAGCCATGGTCCTCCTCGACAAGGCCTGAAGAGGAAGGGGAAAAGCCCATTCCGTTAGCCTGCCTTGAACATTGTTCCCATGTACCTGTCGGCAAGAAACCCCAGTGTTTGATCTTGTCATTATTCTAATCTGTAGGTAAGAGATCTTAGTCACCTCTACTCCCAGGATACTAGCTAGCCCTGCAGATTAACTCACACTGGACTGTTTTAAGTTACATCACTTTTAAAGATTAGTCTAAACAAGAGAAGGGAGGCGGAGCGTGGGTAATGAGGAGGAGGGGAATAACCCATGCTTTCAGTAGTTTGTCAGGGAGCCAAGTCTGTCTGTCAGTGACAGGTCCTACTCCACAAAGCCAACCTCAGATCCCTCGGATGTCACCCAGGACCTGTGAATGTCAGTGCAGGGCTCACTGGAGTCCTAGGTCCACCACCTAAGACCACCACCATTCTGTCCTTGCTCTTGAGTAGAACCTAGATCCAGGTCACTCAAGCATCCCCTACTTGATGCTGCAAAGGCAGCAAATATTTGATGGAAATCCCATGTGGCATCTAGCTGTTGCCTGGTATTTCCTCTATGATACTGGCCCCCAGAGAAAAGTCATTATTTACTTGGTTCAGGAGTTTATGATATTCATAAAGAGTCAACACCGGATTGTTTTATGACCAACAACAAAATAAAGCCTATTTCTGGCAAGATGTTTTGCAATCTTAAGAGCAAATGAATGTCAGCTCTACTTAAGAGACTTCACAACACAAGACAAAAAGCGGAGTAATAATGAGGTACACCACACCTCTCCGAAAACAAACAAGCAAACAAACAAGACACCAGAGAGTCCTGTGATTTCAACTCAACTGACAACCAACTCTTGTTGCTGACGTCCAGGTACCCATGCCTAAGACACCGCCCCTTCCTCTTCTCTCATCTAGAAGACCAAGCACAACCAAAGGTGGAGAACATGAAATATGGAAGCAAATGGGAAAAGCATCTTGGCTAGGCTACCACTAAGGACAATGATAAGCAGCCACATGCCCACATGCCCACTCAAGCCAGTTGTGCAAGGCTGTGCACTGAGGCACAGGGACATCCTTCCAGAGTGGAGCAATGCTGAGTCAATTCTGCTTCACTGTCCCCATGGACCCTTAATAGGGCACTTGGCCACACAACCTGATTTCCTAGAGGACTACCATGACATAGAGCACCTAAGGAGTTCCACTCAGGCATCATGCTAGCTGCCCAGGTAAACCCACCAGCTAAAAAAGGTGTGGTGACTCTGCAAGAAGACTAAGAAATCTAGAGATTACATAAGCCACTCCCGGGTGGGTCCAGATACTCCTATGCCTGATAAATTTTTATGCCCTGCTTGAAAGGGAGGGTCGTTACTGGGGATTTACATTGAAATTCTTAATCTAAATGCTAGCTAAGGCCTAGAAGTCATTCTCTTGTCTGATGTTGCCAGTTATTCCTTGCAACTGGAATTGGGCAAAAACACTATAGGGATGAGACAAAACTAGAAATACCACACCTACATCTCCTTGGTGATGTAGCAAGGATCTCTTTCATGATGTCATTACTCCATCCATCCATCCATCTATCCATCCATCCATCCATCCATCCATCCATCCTTCCATCCATGCATCCATCCATCCTTCCATCCATCCATCCATCCATCCATCCATCCATCCATCCATCCATCCTTCCATGAATCCATGCAGCCAGCAATGCCAGACCACCTATTTAAGGCCAATCCCTGAGCTTGATGCTATAGATAAACATGTATGACTTCACTTACAGCCTTGATATCATACAGCCGCTAGGTTTGCAGCTAAGGCAATGAAGATGAGGCCCATCTCGGGTCTAGCAGTCACAGGACTCAGCTTCGCCTAGAAGCCGAGTCTTCTGCTTCCTGTGCCCATCTCCTGCGAGTCTCCTAACAGTAGCCCTCATGAACAGACAAGGGGGTAGGAAGACTTTCTACCAATGAGCTGCATCCCGTTCTGTTCTTCTGTCTATTCTACACTAAAGATCTTTTGGTGGGGGTTTTAAACCACATGCAAGACATGCAAATGTCAGTGTTTGCTATAGTCCATGACGATTCCTTCCCATTCAGACTCTGCTTTGCCATGCCTGCAGAAGTGCCTCCTCAAAACAAAATCTAAACCACGACTCAAGTTTCCAGTTCTTGGACTTCCCCACATTGAGAGAATAAATTTTCCTGACATTATTGTAATATCTTAAGGGTAAAAAAAAATAGTTACAGCATTACCCCTAACTTTTAAAAATATATTTGTTACCTCACTGCCTGACAGACACATTTCCCAATTTTTGTCATTGGATCAATAAGATTCTACAGAACTTACTCATCAAAGTCTTTCCCCGGGTTTTATTTTTCCACTCTGAGCAAGGTTTTTTTTTTTCTTTGTCTGCGATGTGGAAACTTATGTATTATTTATCAACAGATACCTCAGGCAATTGTTGGGAAGTACCCCTCAAAAAAAAAAAAACCATACAAAGAATTGCAAAAGATTCAAGAACCATCTTCTTGAGATTGGAGACCTGATTGCTTGCTCAATAATCTGGGACACTGGCGTTCAGAAGACTAATTAACAATATCAGTTCCAAAGCGTGTCCCCCAAACCCCCCCCCAGACACTTGACCAGACTAGCTTTCCAAAGGAAGATCAGAGACCAGGAGAGCTCAAAACAAAGCACACTCCAAAAAGAGCCCTTAATACCTCAGCTTTCCTGAGGGGCCAGGTGGCAGGATGTGGGACGACCCGGACTGACAACCACAGTCTGAGTGTGGGGGTCGGGCTGCAGCAGAGAGTGTTACATGCCACCTAAAGTGGAGTCCCCAACAAGCAGGCCAGAGACCCATTTCTGCTTGCATACTCTTCTTATATTGCAGCAACTGGGGACGGCAATCTCGAAGCAGGCCCCCCACAACACACACACACCCCTCCCGCAGATCGCTGTATCCGAGGAAGCTGCCCCCTGGAAGGTTCGCAGACTGAAGCCTCCAAATCGGATTTGGTGGCCTCCGAGTAACCCATCCCCCGTCGGGCTGGTTCTGCACAAAGTGGAATGAAACTCCCAGCGCGATTCTGTAAGTTCTACGTGTCTATGGGCATGCTGCACTTGATTTCCAAAAGAAAAGAGGGAGAGAGAGAGACAGGGAAAGGGAGCAAAGCACCCACGACCACGCGACCCGGGGACCCGAAGGTTGACTATTCATCAGCCAGCTGCAGCTTATGTCACCCTGCAGGATCGGAAAGGAACAGCTTACGAGTTGGCTGGAGAAACCCAGGGCTGTCACCTAAACATCTGGCACCGGGACCTCAGCTCAGGCCAACAACACACAGCCTCGCTCCGGGACCCCTGAAAAGCCAGAGCGGGGCAACCCTCCGCCGGGCTGGCCGTGCACCCCGCTGGCCCTGCAGCCCGCATCCTGCTGGCCGTGCAGCCCGCAGCCGGAGCGCCGCTCACCTCTTGGGGCCGCGCAGTGCGGTCGTAGAGCCCGAGTGGCTGGCGGTCAGTGACTGTGCGCGCCGCAGCCGGGGGTCGCGATCCGGGTCGGGGTGGGGGTCGGGCCGAGGCGCAGCCCCATGGACGCCCGGTCGGGCTCGCTGTCTGGCCGGGGGTGTGCACGTCTCCCGGCGGCCTGACTCGCCGCTCCGCCCCCGCGGCCTCAAAGCCCGTGGCACTCCTCCGGCGCGAAGGCAGCAGACTGGGCAGTTCCCTTTTTTTGCCTTTGAGTTGTATGCGTCGCCAGCCACAGGGGATTTCCGAGGGACTTTCCAGTCACGTGACGCCCGCGTGGCGAGCGCCGCCGGCCGGCAGAGGGCGCTCGAGGCCGTCCCCGCCCCGCCCGGAGAAACTCCTGGGTCCCGCCCCGGGGTGTCCCCGCAGTGAGTCACCTGGGCATTTCGGAAGCTGGCCTCCACGTCACATCCATGTGGAAATCGCGGTGATGGGAACTGGAAATGCAATAGGTTCTTTTTCTAATAGCTTCTTTTCTGAAGAAAATCAGCTGTGAAAAAGAAGGGAAATTAGAGAGAAAGAAAACCCTAAAAACCACCCGGACACCCAGGACCGCAGGCCTGAGGCTGACTTTGAAGTTTGGGCTGCGCACGTGATGAGCACTTATGAGAGAGCCCTCGGCGGGATCCCGGAGGGGATTGCGAGAAAAAGAAGCTGGGTTCCCCGTGCTCCAGGCTCAGTGCAAATGCACAGAGACTTCAGACCCCATGGTCCTGCAGCCTTTGAGTTCCAGGGGCAAGGTTAATTTCAGAGAGGATTAACCACCCCCTTACACACACACACACACACACACACACACACACACACACACACACACACACACACACCCTCCACTTACTCCATTTCTCCTTCGTTTCTTCTTTCTGTCTTCTTTCGTTCTTTTTCTTTCTTTCCTTCCTTCCTGATAAAGTGTTTCTCTGTATTGCTTTGGAGCCCATACTGAAACTCCCTCTGTAGACCAGGCTGTCCTCGAACTCACAGAGATCTGCCTGCCTCTGCCTCCCGAGTACTAGGACTAAAGATGTGTTACCACCGCCAGGCTTTTTTGTTTCTGTGCTCCAAGGAGCATTTTAGTTTAGAAAAAGCTCCAAGTTCATTGCCTGTTTTCCCCATCGATCTACAAGTTTTCTTAGGTGTTGTTTAGCTGACCTGAGAATTAGTTTACCCCAAGAAACCAAGAGAGGATAATCCTCCGTGTTGCCCTTGCGGATTGACTGGAAGGCCCTGTCTTTTTCTCTGTGTGGGGGGAGAGAGATGGTCTTGGGTTCTTCAGAGAGAGGCTGAGATGGTTTTACTGTCTTGGAGTTTTTCCTCCTTGGTCCTCTTGGCAGGAGTCCTACAAAAGAAGGTGCAAACCAGACAGAAATACTCTGTGTCGCTGTGACTTTAGATATCTAGTTTGTCAGAGTGCCTGGCCATATATTGCACACTTGAACCAGGAATGTGTGGTGTGATTGGACTCAGTGACAAAACACAGTGACACTTTTTGTTGGTAAAGTGAGGTTTGGAGCGAGGGTACTGGCCACCTTCCCAAGACTAGTCCAATTCTTTTTCAGCCAAAGGCTGCCTTCTACCCCCTACCCCTGTTTCTATTTAAAACCTGGTATTTGTCCTTTTATTCACAGATGTTCTCAGTTGTCGACACGCAAACAGTGTAGTAGGCTAAAATGACATTCCTGAAGTATTTATTACAGGCTTGCATAAGCTTTTATACGAAGTTTAGAGAGCTTAAGCCACATGCCCACAGTCGGCACAGTAAGCGGCCTGACAGCTTTTTGGACCTGGGTAGTATCTGTCTTGTTCCAAAGTCCACAAGTGAGGATTAACCACGTGACCATCTGAAGCCCAGGAATCCCTTTGATAAACACAGCATCTCAGCCACAGTAGATGCCTGCTCCACAGTCAGGAAATACCCAGGCATACTGAGGTGACAAAAGACACCAGAATACTAATCCTCAGAGGACTCTCCCAGGCCCGCCTCTGCAAACAGAACCAGGGGATGGTCTGTCATCTCAGAGGGCTCCTCAATGAGTCCTGCAGCGTGCATGTGCGCATCCTGTCTGTGTGGCTCTCTGGTTGGCTGAGCTAGGGAATCCATAAGGAGGAATAACAAACCTGGAAGACCAAGCTCATCTCACGCCTGTCACTACCACTGTTCCCATAGAACTGCTTCACCATCTTTTTTTTTTTTTTTCTTTCGGTTTTTCGAGACAGGGTTCTCTGTGGCTTTGGAGGCTGTCCTGGAACTAGCTCTTGTAGACCAGGCTGGTCTTGAATTCACAGAGATCCGCCTACTTCTGCCTCCCGAGTGCGGGGATTAAAGGCGTGTGCCACCACGACCTGCTTCGCCATCTTGTCTGCACGATTTTTGATTGGTCAGATGCAGGAGGGGCTTTCTGCAGTGTTTTACATTTCCTACAATTCAACTGTGCAGTATAAGAATGCCTCTCAACTTCTCCCAGCCTCCCCAGCCTCCCCCAGTCTCCCCAGCCTCCCCCAGCCTCCCAGCCTCCCCCAGCCTCCACAGCCTCCCCCAGCCTCCCCCAGCCTCCTCCAGCCTCCACAGCCTCCTCCAGCCTCCACAGCCTCCCCCAGTCTCCCCCAGCCTCCCCCAGCCTCCCCAGCCTCCCCCAGCCTCCCCCAGCCTCCCCCAGCCTCCCCCAGCCTCCCAGCCTCCCCCAGCCTCCTCCAGCCTCCCCCAGCCTCCCCAGCCTCCCCCAGCCTCCCCCAGCCTCCTCCAGCCTCCACAGCCTCCCCCAGTCTCCCCCAGCCTCCCCCAGCCTCCCCCAGTTTTCCTTTCCAGAGAAA